CTCGGAGACTTTCTGGGGCTCAGTCTTGCGGTGGCCCTCATGCTGTTTGGGAGGCACTGATCAGACCGTGAGTGTGAGCTAGGAGGCTGAACTGCCCGCCTCCTCAGTGGGTGCCCAGGAGAGCGAACGTGGGACCCACTCCTCCAGGCCTCAGCCTCCTGTGGAATGAGGAGAGAAGACCCTCCGTCACAGGCCACCCTGAAGAACAGTGCAGGAACCCTGCACAGCCTGGGCCCCAGGAGCACACTCCACATCCAGATGGCAGGAGAGGAGGGCTCTGCACAGTCGGGGAGGAGCTGGTGTCTCAGCTGGCCTCCTCCGAGGGTCATTCAGACCTGCAGCCCCACCAACCTGCTCCCCCTCTCGGGGCTCCTGTCCTCCACCTCTAAGGCGAGTCTGAAGTCAGCGGGAGACCGCCAAGGAGCACATTGTGAACTCTGGTGCTGAGGTCACCAGGGGGAGGCCTGGGCCCCCTTCCTGGGGAGTGGAGACACCTGGGCCAGGAGGGCCAGGAGGGAGCAGTCACAGCAGGCCCGTCAGCGAGTGCCAGGGTGCCAGATGGACAGGCGGATGGGTGGGTGGATGGATGGACAGGCAGATGGGTGGGTGGATGGATGGATGGATGGGGGATGGGTGGACGGACGGACATGATGAAGGATGGACTAACAGGGGGATGAGTGCTAGATGAACAGGCAGATGGGTAGACGGATGGACAGGCGGATGGTGGATGGCGGACAGGCAGATAGGTGAATGGATGGGCAAGTGGATGGGTGGGTGGACAGGTACAGGCAGATGGGTGGATGGACAGATGGGGAATGAGTGCTTGATGGACAGGCAGATGGGTGGACAGATGGACGGGTGGATGGGTGGATGGACAGACAGGGGAATGAGTGCCAGATGGACAGGCGGATGGGTAAATGGATGGATAGGGGTTGGCTGGATGGATGAAGAGATGGGATGGGATGAGGGGGTGGACAGACAGGCGGACGGGTGGATGGACAGACTGGGAATGAGTGCTAGATGGACAGGAAGATGGGTGGACAGATGGACAGGAGGATGGGTGGATGGACAGACAGATGCATGGGTAAATGGAGGGATAGGGGTTGGCTGGATGGTTGGAGAGATGGGATGCGTGGGTGGACGGACAGGCAAATGGGTAGAGGATGAGTGGACAGGTGGATGGGTGGACAGATGGACAGGTGGATGGGTGGATGGACAGACAGGGGAATGAGTGCTAGATGGACAGGCGGATGGGTGGACAGATGGACGGGTGGATGGGTGGATGGACAGACAAGGGAATGAGTGCCAGATGGACAGGCGGATGGGTAAATGGATGGATAGGGGTTGGCTGGATGGATGAAGAGATGGGATGGGATGAGGGGGTGGACAGACAGGCGGACGGGTGGATGGACAGACTGGGAATGAGTGCTAGATGGACAGGCAGATGGGTGGACAGATGGACGGGTGGATGGGTGGATGGACAGACAAGGGAATGAGTGCCAGATGGACAGGCGGATGGGTAAATGGATGGATAGGGGTTGGCTGGATGGATGAAGAGATGGGATGGGATGAGGGGGTGGACAGACAGGCGGACGGGTGGATGGACAGACTGGGAATGAGTGCTAGATGGACAGGAAGATGGGTGGACAGATGGACAGGAGGATGGGTGGATGGACAGACAGATGCATGGGTAAATGGATGGATAGGGGTTGGCTGGATGGATGGAGAGATGGGATAGGATGGGGGGGTGGACGGACAGGCAGATGGGGGGACGGACAGACAGGCTCCTTCCACTTAGTACTGCTTGGTTTTCCATACTGAAATGGCCTATAAATTTATGTCTACAGCTCCAACCCTGGCTCAGCCCAGTGCTCATGATGGCCCTGGGGAGGGAGGGCCAGCACTCAAGGAGAAACAGGAGGACAGCATGGGCCACTTGGCCCCAAGAGACCCACAGCAGCCGGAGCAGGTTTACAAACTAGATCTGGATGACACAGCCATCCTTCTTAAAGGTTTTAAAGAAATCACAGTGACATTCTGATCCCATTTATGATCCGGGAAGCCAGGCCTGCCAGCCCTCTGCACCATTTAATGTCAGCAAATAAAATTCAGTCAGTAAGGAAGCGCTGGAAGCTCTTGATCACAGCACAAGGCGGAAGGGGCTCAGCATTGCTGCTTGTGGAAGGAGGCACCAAGGGCTGTGGACTGGGGCTGGATGGCATGGCAGCCGCATAACAGTGGGGGGCCCAGCCCAGGGCTGGGCCAAGGCAGGTGGCAAGCAACCAGGGCAGGTCTGTTGGCATCGCATCTGGGAGTATCTACAGAGCACCCACTGTGGAAGGGCCCGGGCCAAGCAGAGATCAAGGACGAGGGTCTCCCAGGCTGGGCCTCGTCTAGGGGGAATCTCTGGGCTTCTGAGATTTGTTCTTACTACTCAACCAGGACACAGAAGGAGCTGCCAGGGTTCAAGCTTCCTTTCCACAGAGCGGAAGCCTGTGTTGCCTCTAGGCTTGGGAGGAAAATGGCCCTGGGTGGTTCCTGGGGAAGACTGAGGCAGGTGGCTGCAGGATCCTGGCCAGGAGGGCTGGCTGGGCAGGGGAGGCTCTGTCCCTCCAGCTCCTGGGACACACGTGTGCACACATGCATTGCCACAGTGCATGTACACATGTACGCACCCTCACGGGAGCACACGAGCAGCACACACACAGGGACTGCAGAAGGAGCCCCTCGTGGAAATGGACATGCACCCACATGCTCAGAAAGCCAGGGGCTCCCTCTCCAGTCACAAACAAGGGGGTATCTTCCCACCACCCCGTGAGTGCAGGGGCACCCAGGCCTTTCCTGGTTTCTCACTCTGCATCGATGGTAACTCGAGGCTTATGCCAGGAGCATCCCCTCCGTCAGGCCTTTCCCGTCCCACACCTCCTCCCTCCCTTTTCTGAGCACCCACCAGCTCCCAGGCACCTGCAGGGCTGGCCCAAGTGCCCCATGGAGGGTCCCCAAGCACAGCTGGGGAAAGCCACAGCCTCACTGTGTGCAGTCAGCTTCCAAGGAAGCCTTGAGAGTAAGGGGACACAGGCCTGTCCCAAAACAGCAGTGCAGAGACCCCGACTCAGCCCCCTCTGGGCTGCCCCCATCTCTTGGTTCTGACTCCAGGAATCACTCCAGGCGTAGAACATGAATGTGAATGAAAGAGGAGCCCACAGCACGCTGATGACCCCTGCGGACGTGATGGAGAGGATGACTCAGTCAATTGAACACTTTGATTGAGTTCCATAAACAGAAAGGCTGTTTATTTGCTTAATTGTCGAGCTGCAATAAAGCGGTTTTGTTTCAACTTCTGTCCTTTGAAAGCTGTGGATGCAGCCCTCTTCTGACATAAGCAGCCTTCATTGGCGACCCTCTGTGAGGGGCAAGGACCCCACCACATACAGAAGGCCTGTGCCTAGGCTGAAGGGGTAATGGGACATGGGAGGGGCACTGGAGCTAGAGGCTTTAGGGTCAGTGAGGAGCAGATTCTGGTTTAAGGAATAAACTGTGATGAGGCCCCTGGCCAGCGTGGTGGGCAGAAGGCCTGGGACCACTTGCCAGATGGAGACTCTGACCCCACGGTCCTGCAGAGTGGGGCAGGGCTGAGCCCTGGGGAGGTCAGAGCATTCAGCATCTATGAGGGGCCTTAGAGACCCTCAGTATGCCCCTCCCACCCCATCACACAAGAATCCTCCAAGGCCTCCCAGCCAGGGCTCCTCCCTGTAAGAAGCTGCCCCCCACTCTGTCTTGCTCCCCTAACCTTGAGCCCTAGGGAGAGACAGAGGTTTATGAAAGTCCACATGAGACACAGCTCATGACGGAAGTGAGCTTCGGCAAGCCCTGTTGCTGAAGATGCAGCCTCCATCTGGGTCTTGCAGGGGAAAACTGGACTCTTTATGAAAATTATCACCCTGAAAAAGGGGCAGTTTGGCTTCCTCATCCTGGGGAAAGGGGGTTGTGGGTGGTGGGGCTGAGCCATAGGAGGGCGCCCGGTCCACAGGCCAGAGGCCCCTTTGCGCCAAGGAGCAGGTGCACCTGGAGACCTGCCACGTCCCCATGCCTCTCATGGCTGCCACCCTGCTCGGATCAGAGTGTCTCCTCACCAAGAGCCAGGGTCACAGGAGGATGAACCCAGCTCCTGTTCCCACAGAGTTGGGCTCAGTTCTAGCGTGGCCTCTCCCTAGCCCTTGCCCTCTGAGCTCAGACCCCATCTGAAATGAAGAGGTGACAGCAGCTGCCACTACCACCGCCAAGTCCAGGTTTCTCCCTATCGCCAGCCTGGCCAGGCCTTCCTGCCCCTCAGACGGCTGTGCAGGACAGCATGGAGTCCAAGCCCAGGGCTCCCTGCCATAGAGCCCACAGAGCCCCTGGCTTCCCTCAGGGACCCCAGGGGAACCACAACACCACATCTGCAAGTCCCCATCTTCGGCCACCCCCTTAGGAGAGAAGACGACCCAGCCCACTTGTACCTGGGAGGAGGCTGCCAGCCACGGGAGAGCCTGGGCAGTGGCCCTGGGGAAAGGTGGGTGGGTGGCTCTCCTACCCAGGGAAGGGCCATCATCTTGGCCATCTTTACAGCCTCCAAATCCCATGACACCTCCCCTGCCCTCTGCAGGCAGCAGAGCCTCTAGCATCTGGGACCTGGGCAGGCGGAAGAGAATTGGGTGTGGGAAGAAGGGAGGGCAAGAGGGAGGCTGGTGGAATGGGGTCACGGGCTCAAGGCTCAGCCTAGGAACTCAGAAGGGAAGTGGGAAGAAAACAGCTCCTCGTGGGGCAGCCCCATTCCACTGCCCTGCAGCTGCACATCAGACCCAGCCTCTGCTTGTTCGTGGGTGTCCTGGGCCCCTCCCTGTGTCCAGCAGAGCTGACCTCTGAGTCAGGCCCACAGTAACCTTGTCTAGGGTGACGATGGGGCTACATGAGGGTGACAGTGACCCCTGTCAACCTTAAAAATATCAGGAAGCATGGAATATGGTTAAGTATAGTTTATTTGCACACAATGATTGAGAAAGGCCACCTTAATACACAGATTCCAAAGAATGGAAGTTGATGCTCCAAAGTGGAGAGGTTTTGGGTATATAGATAAAGTTTGGGAAGCTTAACAGGACTTCAACACTGTCCACACAAAACCAGCACATCCGATTAGGTGAGGCCGTGTTCTTTTCAGGAGAGGTGTATCGAACACGGAGGATGGAAGGGTCAGGGGGTCTTCGGGCACCTTCTGGTCTGAGTTGGGTGCAAGATAATAAAGAGGGAAAGGTCCACAACTGGGAGAGGAGGCGGGCTTATCCCTCATGTTAGTGACTATTGGTCCACAACTGGGAGAGGAGGCGGGCTTATCCCTCATGTTATTGACTATTGGTCCACAACTGGGAGAGGAGGCGGGCTTATCCCTCATGTTAGTGACTATTGGTCCACAACTGGGAGAGGAGGCGGGCTTATCCCTCATGTTAGTGACTATTGGTCCACAACTGGGAGAGGAGGCGGGCTTATCCCTCATGTTATTGACTATTGGTCCACAACTGGGAGAGGAGGCGGGCTTATCCCTCATGTTATTGACTATTGGTTCACAACTTGGAGAGGAGGAGGGCTTATCTCCCATGCCATTGACTATTGGTCCATAACCGAGAGAGGAGGAGGGCTTATCTCTCATGCCATTGACTACTGGTCCACAATTGGAAAGGAGGTAGGCCTATCTCTCACTGACTACTGGTCCACAACCAGGAGAGGAGGAGGGCTTATCCCTCACGTCATTGACTATTAATTGTGAACCTCAAAAAACAGAGACAGATCTTATTTAATTTAGAAAGTTTATTTTGCAAAGGCTGAGTAAACATGCCAGTGACACAGCCTCAGGAGGTCCTGAAGACATGTGTCCAAGGTGGTGAGAGCACAGTTTGGTCTCATACATTTTAGGGAGACATAAGACATCAATCAACATATGCAAGATGAACAATGGTTCAGTCTGGAAAGGCAGGACAGCTCAAAGCAGGGAGGGGACTTCCAAGTCACAGGTAGATAAGAGATAAATGGTTACATTCTGTTGAGTTGCTGATTAGCCTTTCCAAAGGAGGCAATCAAATATGCATCTATCTCAGTGAGCAGAGGGAAGACTTAGAATAGAATGGGATGCAGGTTTGCCCTCAACAGTTCCTAGCTTGACTTCTCCCTTTAGCTTAATGATTTTGGGGCCCAAAGGTATTATCCTTTCACATTTTCCCCTTTTCTTTTAAAAAATCTTTTGGAGAAAGCATTTTAGAAGAAAATGGGTCTCTGGTCTCAGGTTTTGTCCAGTCTCTCATGGCTAAGATAGTTTGTTCCTGTACAGTAAGGTCCGGAGTTATTAGAAAAGCTCACTTTTAGAGGGTTGTGAAGTCTCATGCCCAATGAAAATAAAATAGGGGGAGGAAGGGAGAAAAACAGCAAACTAAAGAACAATCTGGGAAAAATGGATATAGGTCACATTACTTTGCAGTCCATACATCAGTAGGCAGGTATGAAAGTGGCTTCTGGATGTAAATAGGTTGCTGTTATTTCCTTCTGAAGTTTAAGTTGCCTGGCTTTAGTTTGCAGGACTTTATGAAAGCACAGCTTAGTTTTCAGTGACTCCAAATCAAGAAAAATGAGGGGAAAAGAAGGAAAAAAATTGAAAACATTATCTTGAAAACTTGTAGCCAAGAAAAATTAGAATTCAGTCAAAACTTTAGAGAATAATAAAAATTTTAAAACATTAGGCAAGACTAGAATCTAATAAAAGATGTACTATAGGTTTTGAAATGTCATTTTTCTTTCTCCAGTTTCCCATTTTTACTAAGCACAAATCATGGTAGGACTGTTTTGCTTTATTATACTTGGCCTAATTATTTGTATTCAGTGCAGCAAGAATAATTATTTTTTACATAGCCTTTTTGTTTTGAGACAGAGTTTTCCTCTGAGTACAGCCATGGATTTGTACCTCTTCGTTATAGTCCCTGGGCCCTGAGGAGTTGAATAGCTTTAATTTCTGGCAATGTGTCTCAGAAATGTAGTTTATTTTGAATGGCATCTTTTATTGGGCCTAAACAGGGGCCTTAATTGCTGTCAGTGTTTAAAATTTAGCAGAACTTGGTGTCGTTTTCAGACCCAGGAGTCAAAGCCCTGTAACTCAATGTCACGAGTACTTTAAATGTGCATACGGAGCTACATGGATGTAATAACTTCAATTTTTAAAAAATTTAATCTCAGTTTTTTTCCTAGGCAATGCAAAACTTAATAATATGACAACTTGATCACATAAAGTTTTTGGTTTTTATAAAAATACATCCTTAGCCAGAACAATCAGGCAAGAAAAAGAAATAAAGGTATTCAAATAGGAAAGGAGGAAGTCAAATTGTCTCTATTTGCAGACGACATGATTGTATATCTAGAAGACCCCATCGTCTCAGCCCCAAATCTCCTGAAACTGTTAAGCAACTTCA